CCTCCTCCCTCTCCTCCTCCCTTCCTCCTCCTCCTCCTCCTCCTCCTCCTCCTTACCGGTAGCCTGGTCTTTCTTCTGCACGAACCACAGGTGCAGCATGTTGAGCGCCTGCGCCTCCTCATCGTCCGGATACTCCGCCCTCAGCTCGCCGATCTGTGATTCGCTGATGTCCAGCTGCTGCGCCAGCAGCACCCAATCAGAGCCGAGCAGGCGGGCGATGTCCGAGAGACGGATGTCCGCCTTCGTGATCGTCTCGCCGCGCACTGAAACACAGATGGCGCCACCGTGCAGTCGCAGCAGGGAGAGCGGAGGACGTTCGTTTAGTTTCGTTTCGCGTTAGCTTCGTTAACTTCGTTTGGTAATTGCATAGTTCGTTAAGTGCTGATATTAATACATATCTCTCTATATATATATATATATATTAACACATATCAAGAGTTAATAATGACAAACTGTTTGTCATTATTTGTCATTAATTGTCAAACAATTTGACATTATTAACTCCTGACACATATCTATATATTAATGAATTAAATATTATTAAGATTTGCCAAGTTTCACACCCGACTAAACCCCCAGATTAACTAATCATTTACGATTTAATCATCAAAATCAACTAACTTAACTTTTTTAATTAAACTAAATTAATTAACTCGGCCCGAACACGCGCTAATTACGACATCGTTAGTCGGCATCGTTAGTCGCACCTGTGCCGAGCTCCTCCAGGTAAGGGTACTTCTTCTCGAGCGTGATGGTATCCGTGACGACGCGTCCCTTCGACGGCACCTCGTCTGGCAGGCGGATGTTCAGGTTGCAGATGGGAGTCTGCGCCGGCTCGCCCTTACCCACCTTAGACTCCTTCATAAATGCTATCCGACCTGCAGAGCGATACATATATATTATGTGTATGTGTGTGTATGTGTGTGTGCGTGCGTATATATATATATATGTGTGTGTGTTTTGTGTGTGCGTGCGTTCGTGCGTGTGTGTGTGTGTGCATGCGCGTGTGCGTGTACGTGTGAGTGGGTGTATGTGTTTTGTGTGTGCGTGCGTTCGTGCGTGT